TAAAACCTTTTCTGATGAAGGGTCTAGGCCCGAAACGTCAGCCTCTCTGCTCCTATGATGCTGCTTGGCCTGCTGTGTTCATCCAGCCCTGCACAATATTATGGGCCTTTTCTTTCTTTGCACAGAAAATCCTTCCTAAAAGGCATTAGTCAGTCTAGAGGCCAATTCAGCTTGATAGAACTAACATTGTAAGCAGAAAGTAAGTAGCTCTGCCTTCAGGCTGTTAAATGTTATACGCGTCTACTCACAAAAATTGGAGCAGTTAGTTTTCTGGATGCCTTGAAATTCAGGGCTTTGTCTAACTGACATTCAACGTGGTTTCCAAGTACTGACCACCTAAAACATAGATTTTTGTTTAAAAACAGCTATGATTGCTTACATGATCTGCCACCATCCTGTTTTCTTCGTGTCTGGCAGGATATTTGTACCGGATATGGTAATACTTATGTTAGCTCCTGTAACATAAGAACAGGACATTTGTAGTGTGGTATTGAAAGATTAAACAGAATTTTATTACAGCTGTTGACGTATCTAGATATCACAGTTACAGGCACTTCTATAGACTAATTTTAAGCTGGTTGGTTCCATGTAGTAGCACAGGTGGCATGTTTGATGTGGACCCAGTTAGGGCTGAAACTGAGACACTTATATGGTCACATTACATGCTATAATAAAGTGATGATATCATGAGCATTTTGAAAAAGATATAGTGCATACTGCTTCCTAGCTTAAGACACATGCTTTGAAGTATCAAAATATTTTGCCTCAATCATTCTCCCTGGCGAGAAGTTTTATGTTTAATACAAGCAACAGCCGAGTATTGAACTAGCTACTGACTTTCCTGCGGATTTTATCAAGAACAATCTTGTATTTATTGCCCCTTGGTTTGGATTCTCCCACAAGCAGAAAAATTTTTACTTGCTGTCAAACCTTATCCAACTCCAGCCAACCAGCTCATAATTTAAAAGATCTCTACCTGGTCACTTCCAAGGCTTCTCTTTTTTAAAGTCCCAGCCTATTCAATCATTCCAGATAGCTGGAATCTCTCAGTTTCCATACCATTCTTTTAAACTAGTCTTGCAGTTACTCCAGCGTTCATGTGTACAGTTAGAAGACTAAAACTGTGCACAATACTCAATATACATGCTTAACATAACTTCACGATCTTTGCACTCTATACCAAACATGTAAATAAAAGTGTGTCTAATTGATTGGCTAATCTGAAATTCTGTTTGTTCTCTTTTATCTTCAATCCCTTTGCTCTTATGCCTTGCTTAACTTCTTATTTTCTAAGCTATAGGTAATGGTTCTACTTCTGCATCACCTCACATTTATCAATGTTAAAGTCGATTGGTTACTCAATAGCTTGTCTGCAAGGCATGTCTTCTTGAATTAGATCATATCATCTTTAGTGTTAGCTATATGTGCAGATTGTATCATCTACAAATTTTACCATGGAATTACTTGTTCTAAATCATTGATGCAAATTATTATTAACAGTAGCTGTAATGCTGATCCTGATGGAGCACCTTTATTTACTTTACTCCAATCTGATTAATTCCCCTTACTCCTAATCCCTACTTTCTCATGTTTACTTGATTTACTATTCATTTAACTACTTGTCCTCTAAATCCATGTTGAATTGTCATGACTCTGCGTGACACCATATAAAGATGTTTTGAAAACAGAAATGTAGAGATTCAATTAAAGGTAGGACAAGTTAATTTAAAAAAAGCATAAAGTTTCTTTATTTTTATTAAGAGAATTTGAGTACGAAAGCAAAAAAGTAATACAAGGCCTATACAAATCATTGGTACGCTACAGTTAGAGCATAGTGTGTCTTACTTTAGGAAGAACATTTAGACCATGGACTGGATGCAAACATTTTCACTAAGATGCCCTCTTGGATGAGAAGCTTGGCTATGACAACGGGCAAGAAAAACTTTTGCTATTTTCTACAGCACAATTCGATTAAGAGGGTACATAATAAAGATGTTTTAAATTACATAGGGCTTTGACAGGCAGTCATGATGGGCTGAAAGGCCTCCTTCTGCATTGTAACTATTCTGTGAATCTGTAATAGTATGCATGAAGCTCTTTGAACGTTTAAGCTTTTCCAATACTGCAAACATATGTTATGATAAAACCGACTGACTAATTTTTCTATCACTACCTACAGTGCAACAAAAAGCTTATCTTTTGTAGTGTGCAACTACAAGTGTACAAAAGTTGTGTAAGGTCACCAGAAGATGTTGAACACTAGGTCTGTCCATAGAAAGATGGAAGGCATTAACAGGTAGAGTGCTACTCAATTTTTACAGATATAAAGTTATAGGGATTTTTGTTAAAGAACTTGACAGAAATCTATAGAAGATTAAAAATTGTTTTCATAAAGGAAGGTTTATTTCTTAAGGAAATGCACAGTATTGACTGTTCAGTTACGATTCAATGCCTCTGTTTTATAACTGTGCAAGTTGTAGCGACAGGTTCTGCTCACAAAGGTTTGTCGACTAAAGATTATGTTTAATGAATGCTTTCTGTGTTGAGTGGAATACATGGCACACTAAAAGCCTTACACCTTTTAACTCTTCATGCATATTATTACTATTATAATACAACACCACAATGTCAAAGTTGAGTTTTTCAGATTATGTATATTGTATTTTTTTTACTGTTACAGTATGTATTGACCTGATACAGTGTATATTGTCCATGTTGAATATTGTGTGAATCTTAAAAGTTGAATGCTTTTCAGGGCATGTGACTGTTTTCAATTGCATTGATCATTCAACTCTAAAATGATGATTACACAATGCTGTGCTATAGGCTGACAGCATTTTAAGTCTTTATGTGTACCACTGGTACACACCTTCATATTTTTCTATCTTTGACCATTGCTCTTTTCAGCTGTAAATTATTATTGCATGAGGAAATGGTTCTGAAGGAGTTACTGTTTATATGACACCCATTCTACTGATATTTCACACAGTCTGGGGGTGGAACAAGGAGCTCGATTTTCACCAAAAAGGGAGAACAAGTCAGTTGGACAACGATAAAGGCCGGAAGGAGTCAGCAATCCCTGAGCTAAGCATTTCTCAATTTCAAGGGCTTTGGGGGTAGGGTGGGAGAGAAGAGCGGGTGGTCTGTTTGTTTGTGTGTCGTTCCTGGAGGCAGATGGCTATTGAAATGACCAGACAAGTCTCAATGGGATTTTGGAGTCACTAGTGTTTGGCACCCAGTGTGTGGAGATTGGATCAGATAACAGCAAGTCTGTTTTCAGTGCCTTTTTTTAAGGATAGTAAAGTACCCCTTTGGAGCACTGAAGTACTCCTGTGTCTATGGTCCCAGACACCTTGAGAACAGGGATCCTTTCTGAGGAGGGAGTGGATCTGGTGCCTTCCTGGACTGCTAACTGATAAGTTGTTGTGCAAAATGTGCACAGGCACCTTGGAACTATCCAACTTGTCAAGGCATTTAAAGAACTGTTAAGACATGTCTAGAAGTGTCAACATGTCAGGAAATAGCAAGAAGTGTCAAAATAGGTTTTGTTTTGGAATGAGTGTTTTTCTCCAGAGTGTAATGTGCAATATTGAATTTTAAGTAACAGAATTGTAGATCTTCTTTGCCCATGGATAATTACAGATACTGAGTGAGTTGGCACAGTATGTGAATATCCAAACAGTGGTGCAAGGAAGTAGGCATTAAATTGGCATAGGGTGTGAAGGTCTACAGGGATCGGTGAAGAAGCATAAGGTGGCATTGAGGACTTGAGGAGCTATGGGAGATAGGTACAGGACATTATATTACATGGTTTGCCATGGGTGAGGCATGGGGTGTATATAGATGTGAGGAGAAATGAGGGGGTGTAAAGAATGAGAGCTAGATAAATGTTTTGTACTGCTGCTCTCCTGGAAGGGTAAGGAACCTCTTTGGATCTGTTCATAGGAACACTTTGGAGGAGGTAAGGCACCCTTTGGGAACATGAAAAGGCATATTTATTGGTTTAAAAAAAGTGCATAAACTCGAAACAAATAGTAACATCATCAAGAGGCAGATATCTCTTGAGGTTTGCTCATGTTTGATACTAGGTGAGTTGACACAGAAGGGGAAGGACAAAGGGTAGTAGGTGGAGGGCTAAGTTGGCATGAGTTTGCATAGATTTTATAAAGGGCCATGTGGATGATTGGGGACATAGACGAGCATGAAGTATGAAGAGCTATGAGGGATCAGTAGGTGGGTATACAGTGGCACAGGGGATACAAAGAGTTGTAGGGATGGAAATTGGGCGTAGATTCGCATGGGACTGTAAAGGACAATGAGGCATTGGTATATGGACAAACGGTAATAGTGGACATATGAGGGGCAATGAGAATGGAGAGATTGATAAGAGCCCTTTGAGATGGGTAGAGGGGCATATTGTGGACTGGCACTGGGAGTGTATCTGGGTGACTGAAGTAAGCAGGAGGGATGTTTCTTGTTTTCATCATCTTTAAAACTTTGACTGTGATCCTAGAGCCCCAAGGCAGGTATCCAGGCTACTTTGCCTTAGGAAATGGCAGTCTCTCAGGATCTTCTTGAATCGCTCAGCATAATTCCTAATCCAGCCTTCCACCCTCTGGATCAAAAATTGGAAATGTGAGTGGCCATTTTTAAAGGTTGGGTGAGCAATGCTGGTGATTTGCCCTAGCAATGAAAATCAAGAGGAGTTTTACTCTAACTTTTAGAGGGAGCAGATGAATCTGTACCAACTCCAAAAGGTTCTAGTTTTTATGCCTGAACAAATGTAGTTGTATTTATTACTATCATGCAATAAATCTTCTTGTTATGTAAGAACAGTGCCTCTTCTGTTGATACCTCAACGGTGGTATGTCCTCTACCACTAATGACTAAATAGGCCCAAGACAAAGCCAAGACAGAGCAGGATTGATGAGAGATAATTACCTCAAACAGTTCTTAGCCAGTGCCAAATTCTGATAGAGGGGGAAGTACCAAAAGTTGTCAGCAGTGGTCGTATGGGAAAGTGCTACAAATCTATCTGTACTGTTTCAGTTTGAAGTAAATTTTACGTTAAAAAAAACACTGTGACCACTTTTGTGCTTGCACACAACTTATTTCCTGCTTGAGAAAAAAAACCTGTAATATTAGTAATGCACTCAACATATGGGCCAATGTGATTAACATTTGAGTTATTCTCAAATTGGCAACAGTCAAATACTAAATAGCATCTGATTTAATCTTCTGTGAAAGGAGACAGACATAATGTACAGAATACAATATATGTGATATGTGATGATATTTACACAGTTAGCTTTATTTTTATTCATCCTCTTTTCTTTCATGTCTGTTACTACAGAAATGATTATATTCCACTGTTCCTTTTCACTGTCTTTGATTTTCCTCTTTATTCCCACATTGCTCTTCATTGTTCCCAATGTTAATTGGCTTTGCTTTACTATGATTTCGCTCTCCTTTTTTTGGGGGCCAATAACCTCTATTTTGCACTGAGCTCTCCAGCGACTAAGTGATGCTGGTGGGCCCTTCCATCTAGCTGAGCTCTAATTTGTCTGCCAAGGAAGGAAAGGGATGTGCAGTGCAGATTCAGATATACTGAAGTGGCCAGTACATGTTGCGTTCATATTGTGTGTCCAACATACTTTGTTTACATACTTAACAACGAATAACCAAAATAAATAATCTTCATGCCAAATGCACAGTAATGACATGTAATAGCTAACATATATGCAACAACCTGTTGTGGTGCACATATGAGGAATCAAGTAAACTGTTTGATTAACAATTCGATCCCTTTCTTCAGCTTCATAAATCAGTTTTGATTATAGGTATATATTAATATATGTTGTTGCATTTCTTAAAATTTACACATACCGGGAATATCTATTTATCACGAAGAAAGTCTATTTGCTTAGAAGTTGCTATTTATGGATGAATATTTTGGATATTAGACCGGAAGAGAAATTCAGGCAACTCATAATCACTGCATCTAAACTTCTTCCAAATCATTTCTCAGGAATTTTTTAAAAAAATTGTGTACTTCTGCTTCTATCGACAGACTATGCCTCTGTTTCCTTGAAAATTATTCTTCTCTCATGCACTGCTAGAGAGCTCGCATTAGTGTCGACTAAATAATGCTTCCATGTCTCGGAAATAAGTTCTGAGATATTAAGAACCTAAATAGGACCTACCAGAACAAATGAGCTTTGATTCAAATTTAATTACAGAGGTAATCCATTATAACCTAGTTTCTTTTAAAGATTATCCAATCTTTGTTGCCATTATACCACAGGGAAAGTTTCTTTTCTACCATCCTCAAACTGCAGAACAAAAACCTCAATGCACAAATTTAGAATAATGAGCTAGAACTATAAAGTAAATTTTTCTCCTAGATATGGAGCATCATTCAATGGGAATATTAATCGGTTCCAAAGTGCTCCCAATGTTCTGCTGATTAAAATTAAACTGAACAGAATCATCTTGTAATGAGTGGTCAACTACTGTCTTGCAAGTTATAAAGGTACTTTGTTACAAGGAATGTGTCTTTGTAACTGTGTGACTGCTAAAGCATGGTCTTTAATAATTACAGCTATGAGAGGCTGCAATTCCATGTGTGCTGAAGGAATGAATGATTGATGTCATCACAATCAGAATATTTATTATCACTTTTGTCTGCCAGGAACTGAATGAGAATTTTAATGCATGCAGTGCTATTCATTCTCCTCATTAAAACTGCAGTGTCCCTTGTCAAGCGGACTCGCTTGTCATTTTAATTGCTTCTACCATACTCTGTGAGCATGAGCAGGTGGGTCCATCATGTATAAGTGACAGAGAGATAAAGGATTACTGGGATATACATGGAGGGGACAGCACAGTTCAACATTTGCTAGTTTTTAAAACTGGCTTATAAGAACAAACATACATGAAAACAGGACACAGTAGCATTTATAGCTAATCTGAAATATCATTCATATGAATAACCAAGAAATGATTGATTGCACTGTTATGCATTCCTTCAACCATCAAAGATTTAATTATTGCAGTACTTACTAAGATCGTAGAATTTCAACCCTTCAGAAAGCATTGCTGCAAAACAATACTGTGGACTTAAGCTGTCATGATGGATACTTTGCTAATGGTAAAATTTATTTAAGACATATCAAATCTTACTGCATTATCCATTCTAGTCAAATGACAAATGTTCCTTTGTGAAATATATTTTACAGTATAACACAAAAATTGTGTTTTTTATGAGCTTTCTATATAGGCCATATTTTTTATGGCAACTTAATAATCTCCAGATCATTGGATGCCATTAACATCAACTTTGTAAAGTCTGAATAAATCTGCAACTTTGTGTAAAAATATCAATGATTGAGAGACAGTGACATGTCACAACTATTTTGTAACATTTATTGAAGTGAAAATCCATCAGGCCCCTACCTTACTTTATTTAGACAGTACAATACTCTAGCTTATTACTGATTAGGAGCAAACTTTGAAATCCTATAGACAGGTAAACCAACAATGAAAATTGAGCAAGAATGAGAAATGTTTTCTATTGAAGTTGAATTGCAATTAATAGTGAATTTAGTGCAGCAATAAAAGTTGAAACATCAATAATAATCGAGTGTTGCACTGTCAACTTTCCTCTCTCAATTAACAGCAAAAATCAAATTCACTGTTTAATAATCTTATTTAATGTTTATTGGATTTAGTTGTGATTTTTTTTTGCCTGCACTGCCACTTTTCAGAAGTAAATTTGTTGTGAAGCACTTAAACATACTAAGGATGAGATAAAGATGCTATATAAATGCAAGTTATTAATTGTTTTCTCTTTACTGTCAGACTAGCTTTATATGAAAACAGCTGTATTGCTGATCCTCAAAAATTGGCACCCAGTTTAGTTTATTATTGACTATAATGAGAACTGGTGGATTAATATGCACAAGTGCTCAGCTAGTTGCTTCATGGAGCCCTTATGGGCAGATACATTTAATTATTAACAGAGACTGTAGGCCAAATCCTCAGCTATGTCTGTAACAGTCTGAACTCCTACTGCCAGAGATAACCAGATGCTATTTACAACTGCTCAAATTTCAATCCTCCTTCGATGGAATCCAGGAGAATTGCCTACAGCATGTTACTAAACAAATTGCTGATTTATATTTCCATAACAGAGAAGACAGTAAGAATAAACTGTCAAAAAAAGTTTTACAAAAATAATGTACTTTAAATAATGACTTTCAAAAATGTAATCCTTGATGGCCCATCACTGAATCCACAGTTTCTTTGCTTATGGAACAGCAGGATATTGAGATGTGGATTTTACATCATCTTCAGAGGTATCTTTTGCCCATCAGAGACATTCCCCACATGATAGTAATACCCTTATTTCCTTTGCACATAGACCTGATATACCCAATCCTCCACCACTCCTTGCCTACTTTAAGGTCACCAAATGCTGCTTGCCCATTGTTCCTTTCTTACCTGGATCCAGGTATTCTTTAGCCCTTCCTCTTTAGGGTGATTTCAACCTGAGCAGCGCCCTCTGCTGAGTTTTTGCAGCTGCTAGCCAATCTGATTTCCTTTCACTCAGGAGTGGATGTCCCACAATACCAATTAAACCTATCACAATGTACTGTGGGGCAGGCTTCTTCTAGGCCTGTCAATTGACTTTTTTTCTGACTCTGAGGATCTCTATCATTTCAGTTTTCATTCAGTTACTCTTAATGTTCTGCTAAAACTCCCACTCTTCCATCTTCAGTTACTTACAGACACTTCAGGAATACAGATTTCAAAGTTATTTTGTTTTAATTTAATCAAAATAGTAAAGATATCTGTAAGAGATTCTTAAAATGATAAAACTTCAAATCCAGTGACGTTTCTTAAAGTATCTATTCAGATATTACTGGTATCTTATGTTTTATATGTGCATGAAGGTAAAGACTTTAGCAGTTGGTTGTTTGTAATAGGTATAAATAAAAAAATACTGTATTTATATATTTGTTTACTTTAATGATGGGGATGTATAAATGCAAATGGTTCCCACGCGCATGATCATTTCCATCGAGAAGGACAAGGGCAGCATATACATAGGAACACCGTCACCTGCAAATTCTTCTCCAAGCCACTCACCCTCCTGACTTGGAAATACATTGCTGTTCCTTCACTGTCGCTGCGTCGAAACCCTGAAATTTCCTCCCTAAGGGTATTGTGGGTCTGCCAATAACACATGGACTGCAGCGGTTCAAGAAGGCAGCTCAGCACCACCTTCTCAAGAGCAACTAGGAACAGGCAATAAATGTGGACCAGTAAGCAACACTCATGACCCACAAAATCAACTATTCCTCCCCCCTTTCAAAACAATAATCATCATTAGCATCTTAAAAATACCCATTCCTGACACCTCAGCTCTTGTAAATTTATTCTCCTTTCTGTCCTCTTTTACCCCTTCAATGAATGAATGTAGGTTTAATTTTCAAATCCATGATTGCTAGTTCAGTACTCACCTCTTTGAATCTCTCCAGCTATGATAGCCTAAACCATGCCTTCATTACTTCCAACCCCAACTATACCACTGCCTCTAGCCAACCTCCCATTCTGCATCCGCATCCAAATTTCTTGTTGCCCATATCCTATGACACAGCAAGTCTTACTTATTCATTACTGATGATCTAACTTGGTATAGGGCCTTCAACATTTCAAATTTAAATATCTTATCTTTGATTTTACATTCCTGCAAGGATTGGCATCTTCTTATCTCTGTATCCTCCTTATGGCTGAGATCGCCCTCAAACTCTTTGTTCCCCTGAAGCTAGCTTCTTATACATTCCCTCCTCCCTTCTGTCTAATGCTATAGATTCTGTCCTTGGCTCAGCATTTCTCTTTCCAACTTATGCCTCAATGAAGTGCCTGCGGATATTTTCTCTGTGTTACAAAACTTACTAAATAAATGGAAATTGTTGTTGTAATTCCTGTACACTGTTTAATAAGGATAATTTAACAGTTTATTTCAGAATATTAATTTCATCTAGTGGCCTCAAGCAAGTTAAATATCCAAAATATTTACCAAATGTCTGAAATCTTCTTATACCCCCAACATTTAAATGTAATTTCAGTTTATAATTTCTTTTCTTAATGGTCCACACATGGTTTCTTAAAAAAAACTCAGTTTTTAAGCTTCTAAAGTTTAAACATGTTTATTGATTTGCAGCTGAAGCTGAGCTGTTGCTTTTAATACCACAAAGTCTTGCTAATTAAATACACTATTTAATGATAACATGTCTTCTGTGAACAACTCCTACAATCAGTTGAATTGCTGTAGATTACATTTCAAAAAGTGAAACATCAACATCTTACTTTGAGAGCTGAGAAGCAGGTGTTTGAAAATGTTCATGACCTATCACTATTAATATTGACTTCTCTGAATTTATAGTTTCCTTTCTTCTATCCGAGTGCGTACTGTCTGACTGCTCAAATTAAGAAGTGAAAATTTTCATCCCTATTATATAAAAGGTTCCTGTGCAAAATGGTGCATTCCTTATTTCATCTTAAAGTTACTTCAGCATCCAAAAAATGAAGCACATTTACATTGTATGTACTCTAAAACTGTCCCTTTTAATTAAAGCTACATCAAGCAGCAATCTGGAAGCTATTACTCAGTAACTCTTCATCATAATTACTTGCAGCTGAGAATCCAGGTCTCAGTAACATAAGAATAAAAGGGAAACTCAGTTAGTAACAAGTGCAATTGATTCCATTCTGAATTCCCCTGGTGAGCTGCCATGTTTGAGAGGAAACAAGCTTTTTTCGAGCCAGGAAATGAATTGGCAGACACGAGATGGTCTGTGTGCTGTTAGACTCACATATTCAGCTGGTCCTTGTTAAATCTGAGACTTTGGGGCTCCTGCTGTTGCCAGTAGATTTTTTTTTCCCTTGTAACTGTGCATGCTTACCACTTCTAGGGAGGCTAACACTTTGACAAGCCACAGAAACCTTGCTCGCAAATTCAGTCCTGTGATCACCATGGCTTTCTCTATTAAAGGCCCATCACCCCATTTAGCTTAGATTTTGAAAAAATGTCCAAATCAAATGTACATAATTCTTGATAATGGAATCCAGTCTTGACAGAATATTTCAAGACATTTTTGAAGTATTTTTCTTGAAATATTTCAATACCACGAGGATGAAAATGTCATTTGAAAGCTGTGTCTATGTATTAAGATCCCATTCAACAACCATATTTGTGCTAATTTACATTCATTTCAAGGCACTGTTATGTGAGCCATTTGAGAGGCACTACTAAATGCCAATTGCTTTTTCTGTTGATGGATTTACAAAGTTTTAACAAATTATGCAATTGTGTTAACAAATAATTCACTTACTCACAAATAATTCACCAGATTGACCTGTAGCATAGAAACTTATCAGAAATATTACCAGGAGAAAAAGCACCAACATTTAGTTACTGCACAGAAGTCAGCTGGTGGTGAAATCAATGGAAAACATTTCTTACTTTATAAAATGTATTATTTAAAGGAGAGAAAAGGAAAATTAAAGAACAAATAATCAGAAAGAAGAGGAACAGTGGACATTTGTCAGTTTCAAGTGGGATTTTAATAAGTTTAGATATCACAGTAAATGACAAGTTTTTGGTTGTTTTTTTTATTGCACTCCATTTAATAAGCAAATCATAAGACAATTCTGACCTTTACTTCTTTATACATGTGCTATTTGTCTTTAATTAAAAATATTAGAGATATTTGAAATGGCATAAAAGCTTCATTCTCTAAAAGTGGTTTAACTTTCTTATTGTGGTTTTGCTATTCAACAGTGTTCAGGGTTCCTGTACAACAGGAATATTATCTTTGCTACTGGTAGAAAATGTACATGATGCTAAGTGAGAAAAGGCCTTTTTTCGCTTTACTGCAATGATCATGTTTTTTATAAAAAAACAAGCGACAAATTAAGCAAGTTGGGATGTCATATTGACTTTGACGGTCATTAGAAGTGCAGCCTACAAAGAAATAAGAGCACATTTTCAATTTTAAAAATGCATTTGAGCAGTGCAAATCACAAGGGCCTGCTGTAGATTTATTACAAGTAGTATTAAAAGGTTGTATTATAAACATGCTTGTTCTTAATAAATCTTTTCAAGCTGATTGAACCAAACAATTCATCTTGAATCCAAAAGATGTTATCAGAACTTGAAATGTAGTAAAAGTTTGAGATCTGAGAACTGAGACCAGCAGACCTTGGCAATGAAAACACTCTTTCCATTGACACTGCACTTGGGATTGAACAGCATTTCCTATGAAATGTGCTAATCTCAGCTTCCATGAGCTGTCTTCAGAATTAGTAGCTATTTCATCTTAAAAAAAGAAAAAAAAAGTTGTGATCGATTTAAAAACAAATCTATCAATAAATGTGAATCTGTGAGCTGCTAGATCACTGAAAGGTAATACTTTACAAGGTACTTTTGCCCATACTGGTGTGTTTAATTTCTTTAGGTAGGAAACTGTTTAATGCACTTACGTTCAATTCCTTTGTTCAATTCTCTGTGAGTTGGGTTCTGCATTACACTACAATGAAAATAAATTTCGCAGAAACATATTCGTCAACATACAACTGTGGAAATTGAGACCCTGGATGAGACATTAGTGCCCCTGTTTTTATAACTGCCATGCCCAAAGGGCAGGAGGCGATAACCTAACGTGTTTTGTTTAAAAAATATATTATCCTATTTAAATTCTTTTTTAAAAATGGACTACTGCTGGATCTTAAAATGGCTGCTGTCAAACACAGATTAAGCAAGTTCACTGCTTCCAGAAATGTCCAGCAGGGAGAATGCAATCTCACCATCTCACGGAATGTGACACTTTTTGCATTGTATGAACATTCCAGCCAAGCCAACACAGAGAACAAATAAAAACATAAACACCTCAGCTAGTTGTTAACAAAGGAGACCATCAAATCCCATTGCGCCTTGATTTGATGCAAATGATTCCACAGCTATCCACAACAAAACACAATGTTTCCTGATGACGGGACATCAAATCTATCTCATTAGCTGGGTCTCTCAACCTGCAGCACCACTTGCATGACTGATACCATGGGTTTGTTGGACCCATTTTTAATTATATAGCTTTGACAGTTATTCACCTGTCTGCTTGTAACTCCGGAAGAAGAGTACACAGTTCCATGCTCAACTTTACACCTGCCTCTGATCTCTTTCTCTCAAAAGTCTGATTACTGGAAGAAAAATCCCGTGTCTCATCTACAAAGTGAGCCAATACCTGGTTTACAATGACTACACCTTCGTCAACAGTTCAACTGCAACTGAACTCCTTTCAAATGGACTTCTGAGCATAGCCAACTGAAAGAACCTCAATTGGACAAGACTTACTGGACTCTCCAATTCATGTGAAAAAAATCTGATGTAAAAGCAGAAAATAATGGAGAACTTCAGCAGATCTGAAACATCTGTTTGGAGAGAAACAGAGTAAATATATCAAGTCTGATACAGCTCTTCCTTAGACTCATCTTCAAATTCTGATAA